CCACCTTAGGTGTATGTGGCTGGTGCCTTAGCCACTTGAGCCACAGGCGCTGAGCCAGGTATCTGTTTTTTGTTTTGAGTCAGAGTGTCATTATGTCACCTTTGGTAGAGTGTTGTGATGTCTCAGCTCACAGCAACCTCAAACTCTTGGGCTTAAGTGATTGTCTTGCCTCAGCCTCCCAAGCACCTGGGACTACAGGCGCCTGCCACAACCCCTGGCTATTTTTTGTTGTTGCAGTTGTCATTGTTATTTAGCTGGGTTCAAACCTGCCAGCTTTGGTGTATGTGGCCGGTGCCCTGCTCACTGAGCTATGGGTGCTGAGCTAGGTTAGGCATCTGTTTTGTTTTTTTTGAGACAGAACCTCAAGCTGTCCCCCTGGGTAGAGTGCCATACCATCACAGCTCACAGCAACCTCCAAGTCCTGGGCTCAAGCGAGTCTCCTGCTTCAGCCTCCCAAGTAGCTGGGACCACAGGTGCCCACCACAACGCCTGGCTATTTTTTGGTTGCAGCTGTCATTGTTGTTTGGAGGGCCTGGGCTGGATTCGAACCCGCCACCTTAGGTGTATGTGGCTGGCGCTTTAGCCACTTGAGCCACAGGTGCTGAACCTAGGTATCTGTTGATAGGCAAGCAAGTGCTGTGAGAGAGCTGAGTTGTGGATTAAGTCTTTTGACCACTAGTTGCATACTGAAATTTGCATCTCATAATGTGTCTGTTCTGTCCAGGCACAACCCTAGTCATCTTTATATTTAGATAAATGCAGTGCTTTTACCTATACTGAAGTACTCTGTTTTCAACGGTGAGGCCTAACAGCTGCAGAATATCCTGGTGCCCTCTGAGTTTTCTTTTCTTTTTTCTTTCTTTTAGCTTTCATTAAGATTGGAACAAAGGGCTTGGTACCTGTGGCTCAAGTGGCTAAGGCGCCAGCCACATACACCTAAGGTGGTGGGTTCAAATCCAGCCTGGGCCCACCAAACAACAATGACAGCTGCAACCAAAAAATAGCTGGGCATTGTGGCGGGCGCCTGTGGTCCCAGCTACTTGGGAGGCTGAGGCAGGAGACTCACTTGAGCCCAGAAGTTGGAGGTTGCTGTGAGCTGTGATGGTATGGCACTCTACCCAGGGGGACAGCTTGAGGCTCTGTCTAAAAAAAAAAGATTGGGAAAAAGCCTGGAGTTAGGTCAAGGAGCTCATGTGCTTACACTTGTTTCTTCAATAGCTCTATAAGGGAGATGTTGTGCAAGATCATATCTCCATTCAGTCTGAAGTAAAGTGGTATTAAATTCCTAGAGGACCATGTGGGTGGATTGCTTAAGCTCAGGAGTTTGAGACCAGCCTGAGCAAGAGTAGGACCCAGTGTCTACTAAAAATAGAAAAATTAGCCGAATGTGGTGGTAGGCGCCTATAGTCCTAGCTGCGTGGTAGGCTGCAGCAAGTGAGTCTTACTCTGTCATACCGAGTAGAGTACCATAGTGTCGTAGCCCATAGCAGCCTCAGACTCTTGGGCTCCAGTGATCCTCTTGCCTCAGCGACCAGGGTAGCTAGAACTATAGGTGCCCATTATCACATCCAGCTAGTTTTACTATTTTCAGTAGAGATAGGGTCTTGTTTTTGCTCAGGCTGGTCTCAAGCTCCTGAGCTTAAGCAATCCACCCATCCAGGCCTCCCAAAGTGCTAGGATTGCAAATGTGAGCTGCCACACTTGGCTTATCCCCATCCTTTTCAGAGGCCCATTGATCTCCAGGGTGTTCTTGGAATTGGTAGTTATTATTTTGGCATTCTTTTCCTATGGTTGCCATTTTTTCAAACCAGATAAAGTTACCGGTACTTTTTTTTCCTGACAGCAGCCGCAATTATCTGACTTCATGTGAAAGATGGCTAATGCAGAAGTGAGTGTCCCAGTTGGGGATGTGGTTGTGGTACCCACTGAAGGAACTGAAGGGGAGAACCCTGAAGACACTAAAACCCAAGTGATCTTACAGTTACAGCCTGTGCAACAAGGGTAAGTGGCTAGAGATTTGGATGTTCTGAAATATATATATATGATATACAGAATATACTACTATTATATATTAATATATACTATTATATTCTATATAAATGTATATTATATAATATATAAATGTATATACTATTTTATATGTTTTATATATATATATATATTTTTGTTTTAGAGACAAAGTCTCACTTTATCGCCCCTTGTAGAGTGCTATGGTGTCACAACTCACAGCAACCTCCAGCGCTTGGGCTTAGGTGATTCTCTTGCCTCAGCCTCTCTAGTAGCTGGGACTATAGGTGCCTGCCACAACTCCTAGCTATTTTTTTGTTGCAGTTTGGCTGGGGCTGGGTTTGAACCTGCCACCCTTGATATATGGAGCCGGCACCCTACTCACTGAGCCACAGGCACTGCCCTGATATTCTGAAATATTTTGGGAGATTTAAAGGGTGGGGAAATTAAAACTTTGTAGTTGCTTAGTACAATAGAACATTTAACATCAGTGGGAGCTGGCTCTCTCACCTTATTTTTCCACACTAGTTATAGGGCTTCCATATTGTTTACCCAAAGACAGTGTAGTTAGGGTCAGAGGAGATCAGGCAGATACAAAAGTACTGATACCATAAGCTCTCTGAACTTTATACATGGGCAGATTATCAAGCTGAATCTATCAAAAATATATATATCAGTCTGGGTGCAGTAGCTCACTCCTATAATCTTGGCACTCTGGGAGGCTGAAGCAGGTGAATTGCTTGAGCTCACAAGTT